CTGAAAATGGGCGTTTTCAAGGTCTGAAAACAGGTGTTTTCAGGGTCTGAAAATGGATTTTGGGTGTTTTCAGGGTCTGAAAGTGCGTTTTCAGTGCTTGAAAATGGATGTTGTGCGTTTTCAGGGTCTGAAAACGGGTGTTTTCAAGGTCTGAAAACAGGTGTTTTCAAGGTCTGAAAACAGGTGTTTTCAAGGTCTGAAAATGGGTGTTTTCGATGCTTGAAAATGGGTTTTGTCCGTTTTCAGGGTCTGAAAATTGGTGTTTTCATCCATTCATTGGGACATCTCCATTGCTTGAAGCATTCTGACGCTCCAAAATCAGCTGCTGGGCGCGTGCTTCAACCCTCTGGTCTTCCTCGTGCTTGCTCTTCTGGTTCTCCAAGATGTCCTCAAAGATGGAGTTTTTTACCTCCTTGCCGTTGTTGAACTCCTTGGCAAAGAAACCACAAAGAGTAGCACAAAGTGCTTGTCTCGCATCACTGGCATCCGTTTCTGTTTCGACAATCTTTGTCATCAATGGTGTCAAGTTTTCGGCAATGTTGGGAACAAAGCGAAGGAAATTTGCCTGTGTGTCATTCCAGTAGTTGCCATAGAGACTTTGGAACTCATCAGGGTTCATATTGCGGACGATGTCAGCAATGGGTGTGCCCGATGAGTTGCTCTCCAACTTTTTGAAAAAAACATCCAGTTCTGTTTTGAACTGGTTGTCTGCTGACATTTTGGAAGCAATCTTGACAACCTTGTCATTCACCTCTTCCATCACATCCTCAAACTTCCGCTTTCCTCCACCCCTGCCTCTCAACATCACCTGTAGCTCATACAAGCCGTAGGGGTCGGCAATGTTGGAAGCCAAATTGAAGACATAGCGGAGTTGCTCGTCGTCATCTTCAAGTTCCTCGTGTTTGTGAAGAACTCTGATGTCATCCAAGTCAATTCCCTCAAAGACTTGGTGGCACAACCAGCGCCTCACATAAGCAATGTCTCTCAATCCAGTGAATTTGCGTTTCACCCTGCCACGGTCATCCCCAATCAAGACAAACTGAACCTCAAAGGGTTTGTGGTCGATGAGTTCGTAGTAGTCAAGGTTGCCAATACGATGAAGATACATACTCATATGATATTGTGGCGACATCTCCATACCTGCCACCTCCCAGGTGTAGTAGTCAGGGTTGCTCTGCCTCTGGGAAATTTTACGCGCAACCAACAACTCATAGGTGGCACAGTCAATGATGTCATACACAAGGAAGTTGATGTGGGATGGTTTCAGGGCTAAAGCATCCGTCCCCTCAAACATCACCACATTACAGTTTTCTTCCTCATCGCTCTCCTCATCACTCTCCTCATCACTTGTGAGGAGGTTGGTAAGGTATTGCCTCTGACTTTGGCGGTTTCCAAAGAACTCAACACCAGAAGCACAGGTGCTTCCCGAAGACACCGAGGCATTGCCGTAAGCACTGACTTCACCAATGCTGTCGGCATCACTCCAATCACCAAACTCCAAGGTCAAAGAAGAAGCCATAGGGAAAGCCATAGCAACAAGCGAAAGAAAGAAGTTGAAGCACAGAAGGCAAAACAGACTTGAGTAGCAAAACGCACTGTGGAAAAAAACAAGTTGGCAAATCATCACTTGCTCAATGCTCTGGTTGAATTTCTGACCAAAAGTCAAGCCTTCAAGACAACTTGGCAAATCCACCCCACCCAGTCAGCAAACAGGCTGGTCGCACCATTCAAAGATGGTGTCGTTGTCCAGAATGTAGCCAGTGAATGGCTATGAAAGATGGGTAAGGTGGGGTTGTTATGATTTATGGTAAGGTTTGTTTTAAGGTCTATTGTATTGTTTAGGTTGTTTTGTTTTTTTCGTTTTATTTGTTTGTTATGATTTTGTTGTTGATTATGTTATTATCTATAAGGTAAAGCAATCCCATCTTTTTGTTTTGACCGCTTTAAAATCTATTGTATTGTAGGGGGTGCGGTCTGTAAAAAGACGGGATTGGTATTTAAAAAGATATTTCCTATCTATAGTAGGGTAATGGAAGATAATAAAATCAAATGTGCTAAATGCTTTAAAGAAATGGAGGAGGGTAAATACAAAACTTGTGATAGGTGTAGAGAATATATGAGACAAAATCATCAGAAGAACAAAGAAAAATTTAATGCAAGGAGGAGAGACTATTATTACAATCATATAGAGGAGGCAAAAGAATATAATAGAAAATACAAAGAAGAACATAGAGAGGAAATGAACGCCAGAAGAAGGAAACATAGAGCAGAAAATATTGAACAAGTGAATGCTAAAATAAAATGGATGACCTGCCCTGTATGTAATGATTATCCGATACAAAGTAAAAATTACAAGAGGCATTTGGGGACAGCGCTACATCAAGAGAATTTGAAGAAGTTAGAACATTAGATTTTATCTTATGAAAAATATTTATAAGATGAAATTTGTTTTAGTTGTTATGATTTTTGCTTTGGTGTAGGCTGGTGGATTTTTTGTTATGTTAATCTGGGAGGGATAGGAAAGATGGGGGAGCAATTGGCTAACTATATCATATATATACATATATATATATACATATATATATATATATGTATACATATATATATATATATATCATATATATATATAAATACATACTGTATTCACCAATCAACCAAGGCATTCTTCATCTCGGAGACCGCCTCCAGGCCGCTCGTCCATTGCTGCAGGCCGTCTCTGGGCCCTGATCCGCCAGATTTTGATGTCTCAGCTATAGCAGGTGAAACATATTTAGATTGATTTAATCATTATAATCCATTATAATCCATTACAATCCATGATATATATCATATCCATTATAATCCATTATATATCATCATATATCATCATATATATCATATATATATATATCATTATCATGTGAATACTCATTAATATGTGCATGTATGACGATCTATCATATGCGGTAAAACATGTGAAGTACATCTGCAAATCATGAGATGCTCTGTGCCATTATGAGCAAATCAAAGTTCCGGTGATATGTTCCGCACACATTCGGCAAGGTCCTCCAACAACTTCAAGCGATAGAGGCAAATGTAATGCTTGTCCGATTCAGGACCTAGCTGTGACTGGAAAAAGAAATGCACCAAAGAAATCACTGAACCACTTCACTTAGGTATACTTAAATCATCTTTAATCATCTTAAATCCTCGCCATTAGTGCTGTCCTGCCTCAACAGTGAGGACATGATAGAATAAAATTAGATTTTGACTTGGATTTCTATCAGATTCGATTTGATGAATTTCGATTCGATAGATCATCCCAGTAACATCCTCCTACTATCCATGGATGGGTTTGAGATGTTTCAAGTGATAATCTGACCCGGAAACCCTGGTTTCTAGATGCTTTTACCAGCATTTTCATGGGTTTCTCATGGTTTTCCTATGGTTTTCCCATGGTTCAGCCAGGGCCCCCACCTTCAAAGACCATGCGGAGCCCCGTCAGACGCGCACCAGATGCGTTTGCCAAGTGGAAAGCCTCCACGACACCATGGAATGTCTAGCACCAAGTGGACCATCCATATCACAGGTGATGGACATTAACATTAAACTAATTATTGATGACATGATATCATGTCATGCTATATCATATGATTATCATATATATATATATATCATTGATTATCATTGATATATATATATATATAATATATACATATACAGTATCATATCTATGGCCCCCAAAATCATAAATCATGGCCTTTTTTTGAGGACGTCCTGATGATTTTATTCCGCCTGGACAGCGGGTCCCGCAGCGGCGTAGACGAAATCACCCAAGTTCTCAGTGTACCTCGAGGTCCCGGGGGAGAAAATGTGGATTTGGAACTCTTGGAACCTGGAAAACTGATGAAAACTGATGAAAAATGATGATCTCTTGGAACCTCAATTTATATCAATTTATCTCAATTTGCTGGACCTAGGAACACTGACGCAGCCGTGAGGCTTTAAGACCCTCTTAGCTCTTGGGTACTTGAGACACAATATTGAACAAGGCATTGCGTTCACAGACAAGCATGATTAAAGTAATATGCGTACTAGTCTCCTTTTCAGCTGGTATCCAGTGTTACTCATTGAATTCTCAAGTCTGCCTTCGTGATCCTTCTTGCAGCCCCTGAAACACAATATTAGAATCAATGACACTGTAGCCACAAGCTGTAAGCAACCCGCAATTCAGTTCCTCTAAGTTTAATTCCCTCTGGCCGAGAATAAACTGGGTCAGCGCACGCTTGGCTGGTAGCCTGGAGCGATACTCACCCAGAAATGGCTGATGTTGGGTATTCAACCACATTGAACCATCTTTGTTGGATATGCTTGGTATCACGCCATATCGAGCAATCCACTACTTTTGCAGTCAATCATTTTGAGCTAAAACTGGGCCACAACCACGTTGATGGAAAACAGGTGAGTTTACCACTTTTATATCTTGAGGGAGGTTGCAGAGAATGGTTCTCTCAACATACTGTTAGCCACCTGCTTTCAATATGTCACAGAGTCATGGTGTATATCAAAGTCCTGTATTGGTCACCACATGGCACCAGTCTTCACAACCTCACCAGTTGCACCAGTTACTGAAAAGCATTGAATTTATGGGTTCCCAATCGTGCAAATGACTACCAGAAGAAACCAAATGTGTCACCAGTCTACATTCCTTCTGAGTCACCTACCCTCCTTAGAAACTTCAACTTCAACATATGTATACTGTATACTGTATACATATTTGGGGTTCCATAAGCAGAGTTTATCGAAAAGTGAACCCTGGTACTTTACATCCTCTCTATCTTTTGGTGTTTTTTTTGCCGGGGAGGCCCTAGATTTTTCATGATTTGGGGGTTTGGGGGTAGTCATGGAGTACCCCAATAGCTGGATGGCTTAATTCATAAAAGATCCAATCCATTTATAAAAATGATCAAAAAATTGATGATTTAGGGGTGCTGCCATGGGTTGGAAAGCCTATGAAACCATCATTTTTCACCCCAAAAAAACACGTGGCCCCAGCGCTCCTCAGTTGCCCCATAGACTCGGAAGCGTCGGGGTAGCGAGTCCGGCCGCAGGGCCGCCCAACGCGGGGGCTGGCGCGGAAGGCAACTGACTGACAGTGGTTGGGGGAAAACCAAAAGGTACCAACCTATCATTGTGGTTATCCTTGGTAATCTATTCTAATTTTCTTTAAGTTGTACGGATATCACAAGGATCATATAATATGATAAAATGACATATCACGTGGTTGGGAAATTCTGAGTAGCTCCTTGGCTCGTCATCGAAATTGGGATACAACTTGGGTGAAGGGCATCAAGCTCACCATCCGCACCTGCTCGATGATCAGTTGAGTCACCACTGACGGCGAACCTGCCAGACTGGAACAAGTTGAGCCAGAAGCCACTTGCCGGGCTTCTGATGGCAGAAAAAATATGTTTTTTCCATCGAAATCCCTGATTTTGCCACTTGAAATCATGGAATTCTGGGACCAAAATCAAGACCCAACCATCTCTGGGCCCCGGGCGGAGCCGCAACGCCAGGGCTGGGGGGTGTTCCTTTGAGCCACGGAAAGCGAAGCCTGAGAAGGTTGACCAAGCGGGGGAAATGCTGGGCTGGTGGACTAAACACATGGTATTCTCATCCTAAGGGAAGTAGTTGATGCATGTTAATGCACTTGTGGTGGATCTAATGTTAAACCAGAACAAACATGAATGGATCCAATACTACAGTAAGCCATGGTTTTCATGATGGAATTTAACATTTTTGGAACCTATTTTATGATACTGATCCTTATTGATCCATATTGGGGGGTTCAAGAGATTGGGGAAATCGTTTGGTGCGCACCCCAAGTTCCAAGTGGGACAGCCCTGAAGGAAATTCACCGAGGATGGATGAGGCACCCGACAGTCGCGCATCTGTGTAATGGAGGCATTGCTGAGTATGACCTGAATCGCACCAAAGCACTGAATCGAAGAAACATTGAAACTTCTGGAAAGGTCGCCACAAAAACCAACTGATCCCCCAGGAAAATCTGGTGTTTTGAATCAATACCAACACCAGACAAAACCTGTGGATGGCAGAAATCCTGCACCACCTTGGATGGTTGAAACATGTTGAAACCCTATGAATAATGGGATGTTTACCACCTATCAACTGGTGCAGGATTTCGCTGGCCCATCCACAGTCTCCCCAGCCCTGAGGTCAAACGGAAGGCGGCTGCGAGCGGTAGAGCTCCGCCCGGGCCTTAACTCTGGGGAACCACTCAAATCCTCTCAGGTATAACTCAAAATGAATTACCTCCAATAATATATATATATATATTATATTATATATATATTATATTGTATATATATAAATAATATCTATATTATATATATGATTATACATGTATACAAATGATGTGTACGTAGATCATGTGTGTACATATGGGTATGGATCAAAAATGGGTAGCCCAAAAATCGATAAAAAGTGGATGATGCATACTAATAAAACCTGTGGTCCTCCAGGTCTTTAATTTTGACCCATACCCATCTATCTTCCAGTAAACTAACATAGCAATGGAAAATTGCGTTTTATAGATGAATTAAAATCCATGAAAAAATATGATTTTCCATAGCTGTCAGAAGATAAATCACCATGAAATCCCACTCAGTCCCATTAAATCACCATGAATTCCCAGTTTTCCGATGAAAAATCCCATGAAATCGGCGCTGATCTGAGCCTCGAGACCCGGAAACTTGGAATCCCCGTGATGGATCCCATGGTTAGAAAGGCCTGGGCCAAAGAAAGCCATGGCCGATCTCCATGACGGTTGATAGAATTTCCTATCATATATGTAATATAATGTAGTATGATCATTGTCAATGTTGTTGTCTGGTTGGTGGTTGACCTACCCCTCTGAAAAATATGTGTCAGTTGGGATGATGACATTCCCAATATATGGAAAAATAAAAATGTTCCAAACCACCAACCAGTTGTTATTGTCATTACTATTTATTCTTCTGATTAATTATTAGTTCTTAGTGTTACTCTCATTGTTGTCATTATTATGATTGATTATTGCCATTATGATTTTTCTTCTCATTTCTGTTCTATTCTACTATACTATACTACATTCTATTCTGGTCCAGTCCATTCTATGAATGTGTATCAACAAATATTGAACTACATTTAGTTATAAATATTGAATTACATTTAGTTATAACATAACATAAGTATATTACAGATTATTACAGTAAATCATCTCATATTCTATAGTATATTGTACCCATTATATCCCCATGTGTTTGTGATTTTTTCACCAGCTGGGTGGCCTGGTGCAACCAGCCACCACTCAGAGCCCTAGGTGAAGTGAATCCTTCATCCACCTGAGGCGATCAGCCCCAAAATCCCATGGATCTTCCATCATTTCCCTCATTTTTTCATGGGCCATACGGCCATTTTCATGGGAATAGAACAATAGCTAGCATCTTCAGACCCCTGAAAAATTGGACCCAAATTCTGATCTCTTTCTTCTCCCGGAGACTGCATGGATGGATTGGCTTTGGAGTTGCGTTTCGGCATGGTTTTTGTTGAATTCCCCAAGTTTTAGAAACACAACCACCGCGGCACTTGAAAGCACAACCCGTTCTGCCAAAACGGGCCCGCCTCAGGTGAGAGGGAAGCGGCTGCGAACAGGCAACTGCGAGCCTGGCCATGTTGGAGGGAATGCAAAACCTGATGGAAACATGTGGCAGTGTGTCAAAACCATGTACCCCTGGTGAACATCAAAATAGCTGGTAAATGGATGTTCATCCCCTAATAAACTGTATCTATAGGTATTGACCCATACCCATGTTGTTGAAACCATTAACTTGGATCATTTGTATACAGATGTCGGATCACAGAACCAACATGAACCAACTGTTGAATTCTACCTATGGATCTGAAATTATCTGAACTTCATTCAGTTCTATGGTGTTTGAATGCTTCTTGAAAGGCCGCCCTGCTTTGAAGTCATAACACCACCGTAATGCATGACCCTTCATCCCTCTTTCAAATGCCAGCTTCTAGCACCTGCATCTATGATCATGAATCAATCCTCGACATCTGAAACAAGGTACCGAACAAACTTTGGGAAATCATGTTCCAGGCCACGTTTCAAACGCATTTGGAAATCATTGTGGTATATTCCTAAAATTTCCTAAATTCCGGACAAACTCATACCGTATTTACCATATGTCATATTGTTGGCTATTTCTGCATCCCATTATTAATAACTCCCATGAACCATCAAAAAAAAATTGAGTTTTGCTGGTTAACCACTCCCCCCATATCCCATGAAATATATGAAATATCCCCATCTCTTGTCGCTCCCACCTCACAGGGTGTCTGCAACAATTGCAGCAGTCGTTTTTGGAGCTGCACGGGCCAACCACCCCCAGTGGCTGCAATCTGCAAGACTGCCTGCGAGGCTCTGCAGCGGCTGGCTCAAGAAATTTGGCTCGAGGAAAGTGTCTGAAAAAACCCTCAACTTATGGCAGGGTCTACCCTCTGGTTATGTCAAAATAGCTATTGAAAATGGCCATTTATAATGGATTTTCCCATTCAAAATGGTGATTTTCCATAGCTATGTTAGTTTACCAGAGGCTAATTTTGGGGATGGCATCTTGGCTTTGTCAAGGGGAAAAATTCCGCAACGGATGATTTCAAGTTCTCAAAAAAAAAAAAATCCTACAGAGATGACATCCGTTGGAAAAATTGCTCCCAGGCTGTCACGACAATCCTTCCATCGAAGGCACGATGGAAAAAAAAAAGCAACCCCGAGTCCTCGCACCTTCCGAAGATCGTCCACCTGCCAGAAACGCACCCAATTTTACATGTTCTAACATGTTCTAACCATACTTGGGGTATCATAAATCCATATGGATGTGGGTCAAAATGGAAGACCTAGGGGACCACAGATGTTAGTCTAGTTTAGTATTAACCATCCAATTATTGGGGTACCTAATTTTGACCCATACCCATATAAGACCAATCCAAAAATAGGGAGGATCATCCATAGAAATCCTCCAAAGAAATCCCCCGTTGAACTCCAGAAATGGCGGTCAGACCGTTGGGCGCGGTATGGGACATCCCAAGGGACGGCCTGAAGAGGTCCTTTCCATGGAACGACTCTGTTCAGACTCTAACAGTACAACCAAGGCATCAATGTTTTAAATGCTACAAATGAGTACCGATTAAATGTCCCAGTTGTATGTTTTTATGGGTATAATATGGTATGATATTGAATGTCCTAGTTGTACAGACTTGTTTTAAAATGTATTTAATATCTTAAATCTTAAATGGGTATGGTAAGGGTCCCATGGGTCAAAATTGTAAGGCCCAGTAAACTGCAAATGTAGGTGCTTTTTTGAATTAAGCCTATTTAGGCATCCAATTCTAGGGGTACCCAATTTTGATCCATACCCAAATGTTCGAGAAGCACGTTATTGGGAGAGCTCGAGGCTGTTAAAACATCAACCAAACCTATATTATTTGGATGGGTTCGCTATGACACTATGGGTGAACAATTGGGCAAGATCTGCAATGGATCAAGCGATCCATACAACGTGTGATGAACCTGGACCGTGACCAAATGTGTCTCTCAACAATGGACCAGTGAACCTGAAATGGACCTGTGGCCAACTTTGTACAGCGCAGGCATCTTCACTGCCAGCTGTTTTCAACTCTGCGTGCTAAAGATCTTCACTTCGGGTGTCGCATGGCTACAGTATCCTTACAGCATGGCCTGTAGGTGTGCAATTTCGGGTTTCCCAGCAATTGCACATCGATTAGGAATGTTTGAAAGTTCTTTCCTATGTTGAGACCGAATCACCCGCATACTCACGCTTGTGGAAGATCATCATCAAGGTTCACCGCCCAGCACAGTTTCACAGGGGGACAACACATGTCCCAAGTTGCTGTTCACCATATGTGCTATGGTCAAAACATGGTATGTGGATGAAAATGGTTTGATGACCAAAAAAACCCACAACATGGGTATGGACCGGTATGGCATCCATCTTTTGACCATGGCAGCCATCTGGTTACATCCGGGGAGTCTCATTGCTGGATGGCCACCGAGATTTTGTGGCCGATCTCCATAATCATGGGCATTAACCTGCAGGGAATGGATTTGTTGTGGTGCTTGGAAGCCGACCGAAACATCGCTGGAAACTCTGTCAGAAAAGAAAAGGATCAACATGGATCAACCATGCACTGCCTGGTTAGGTTGCCTGGACCCGGGGAAGCACAAAGGTCCACAGGTCCGAATCTGAGATGAAAACGCACTGACGGACTCATCGATCAAATTCAAGAAATGCCTCAGTGCTTCTCCACACTCGCAACCTTTCTCGCAATGTGCAATGATCATTGGAAAATTCGGAGCATTCCAGCACATGATTCAATCATCTAGAAGTTCGTGGTGAATTGTCCCTTTGATACCCGTTCATGATTTTGATGCCAATTTCGCTCCGGAAGATTCATGCCAAGTTCAGCCATTCTGCCATGTATGCCAACGGAATTCATCCAGAAACATGATGCCAGGAATGCTGGGTTTGCTGGTCGCCCATCAAACAAGGCCCCTGGGGCCGCTATGGAATGCTATGGATGTGGGGCTCAGCGATTCGAACTTCAGCACTGTGCTCTTCGAATGTACGCCCCGCGGCCCATCATTTCTGAACAACTATGGGCTATCCGGCTATCCGTTGCAGATCAACGTTGCAGGAAAAACAGACATTGGCTGCTCAAAAAAAACGGACGCTGATACCGTACCCTGTGTCAAAAGGGTGACCTGTCTGAAAATTCCCGCTGGGTTCCCAGACTCCTCGGCTTCTTCGTCGTCCATCAAGGCCTTGGAACCATGGTTTCTACCGGTTTCTACCAGCAAAAATGATGGTTTTTGTCCAGATAAAATGTAATTTTGTTAATCCAAGTCTGGGACTTTTTGTTGGGCTTCTTTCTATGGTCCTCTGTCCATAAACATCCACCACGCAGAGCTGCGTACTTGGTTTTTTACTCAACCCATTTGTTTCAAACGTGGAGGGAATGCCAGAAATGGGAAAGAATGGATGGTTCATGCTCACAAACATCAAAGCGAAGGGGTCCACGATTCTGATCTTTGGACCGCCCATGTGATCCCACAATCTCCTCCAATCTCCTATATCAATATCACAGGCTATGATCCAATTTCATCCAATTTCAATGTTGGAAGCAAAAATGCCCAAAAATGCACAAAACAGTCCAAAACATATCTCCAAAAGCCTGAATCATCAGAGAAACGACATTAAGATACACTTCGCTGATTGAAGCATGATGGGCTCCCAGTGATTCTACTGGCCATACGAACGCTAATAGGTAACATCATAGCTCCGGCCTGGAATTTCTGCTCCACCTTGAGAATGGCGAACTGAGGATCGCTGCAAATGTCCTGAGCTGATGTCACTGATGTCATCCCACAAAAAAGTCATGGTCATTGGAATCCCCAAGAACCCAAATAACCCAAGTAGTATACAGTAACTGACATATCTCCCTAGAATTAGCCATCAACCATCATCAACCATCATCAACCATCATCAACCATGGTATGTTTCACAGCTCACCTGATGTCAGTCATCACCACCATGGAATCCATGGAATCCATGAAGTGGATGACATGGATGACAGTCCTTGATACCCGAGTCGGTCATTAGGTAAAGCAAGTTGATGATGAGTTTGGAATGGCGCCTCACTGCGGAGGAGAAACCAAAAGGTTTAAACCCCTGAGGCGAAAAATTGGAAAAGCACCCTTCAAAACAGCCATTTTTCCATATTTTTCCATGGTATCTGACAATGCTAGTCCCAAAACCATAAACCCCAATGGTTTACAAACGAGATCTTGTCAATGCCATTGGTGTCAATTGGTGTTATTGCTTCTGGGATTGGGTAAAGCAATAAATAAATAGAAATAATAAACCACCCATAGTTTGATGGTTTCTTATATAGTATACCACCCATTGATGACAAATTTGGGAATGGTTGCTTTACAAACATTAATAGCATATGAATCATATGATGGTGATGTTCCCATGGAAAATCACTAATTATAACCATGGCTAAACTCCCATAAAACCCCGTATGTTTCATCAGCGTGTTCTCCAAGCCACATCCAAAACCCTCCCTTCGCCTCAAGATCTTGAAAGCTTGACCTTACACGACAGGACACCAGACTTATCCAGTGTCTCAAAATTGGACACCCCCAAATCCCATGGACAATATATAATAATGGATAATCAATGATAATTATAATCATTAATTAATATTGGATAATCGTCATGTTTCATCATTATTCATACATTTTTCCATATGATGCCCATAATACAATAGCCGTTTTAGTCTCCGAAAATTTGGAGACCATGGTCTCAAGTATCTTTGGGCTGCCCAAACAGCACTTGGACTTGAAGGACAGGTAGCCCGGTGATGAGTTTCCTCCCATGCCTGGAGATAAGACCCTCATGGTTTTTGTGCTGAAGTGATAACTCTTGTTGCTAGAACTAGCTTGGAAAATCTAAGATGAAAGCTGATCAATGGTTTGGGAGGCTTTTGGGCTTTTGTTGCGTTCCAGCTTTGATTTTGGGTGGCGGCTAAACACTCCAAGACCGGTGAACAAAAAAGGGGCGGATGGCGTTTTTCTGCCCAGCGGTTTCAACCATGAATCACAGGCCATGTAATACGGGCAGATCCAAAGTCAGTAGAAAATGACAATACAACATTTATGGATCATATTGTTGATTAATAACCATTTATAACATAGAATGATAGACACACTAACATAAAATGATTGAATACCTTGCGCCTATAGAACCTTCGTCCAAAGACATCTTGAAGAAGTCACTTCTGCAGGGTTTTTGTACGGCACCCCCGGCCTTCGACCATCTCCTGGCAGGCAAGAAAAAGATTTTGAGCTTTCCTAAGTCATGGGGGTACCCCCAAATCATCAAATCATCCAAGTCATTAGATTCTAGTGGATCCCCAAAACCATTGTAGATGTTATGGTACCCCCAAATGGGAGATTCATCCAATGGGGAAAAACCAATGGTTTTTTACTGTTTTTTATGGATCCCATTTTGAGACACCCCCAAAAAAAGGCTCTGAAGAATAGCCTATCCCATGGTAGCTGAAAAAAATCCTATGGTGTTCCATTAATTTCCATCATAGTTCCATCATGTTCATTCAAAAAGGCAACTTGCGGCGCGCCGCTTTGCGCGCCTTGCAAATACGCATGGGCGGTGGAAAGGGTTTTGGATCTTTGCCTGCCATCGCAGCATTCACATTGGGCCGAAAGATGCCGAAAGGGGAGCCATGGATTTGGGACCTCCAATTCTGAAGTAAAAAAAAATTCAATGACTTTTCATGACAGCTTGGTGGTTTTCACCAACATGCCTTTTTCAGACATTTGTTTGCCATTGAGGACCCATCATCATCACCACCGTCGGAAAGAAACGGAACACTGTCCTGAGGCTCCAGGCCCAAAATAAAGCCGAAATCGATATGGAAAAGCCTGCCATCTTTGGTCACCTGGTGCGCAATGCCGCAGTGGAACTATGTGGAACTTCTGTGAAGAAAAAAAAAGACCGTGATGAAGGAGACACTGATGCGAACATGCGAAAATGTGCAATCCCAAAAATGTATGTTGAATCATTTTATGAATCATTGGGTGATTTGAAGTTGAATCTTTCTGGGGATAAGTCCTTATACTTTCTTGGTAGCACTGGCCACCATCAGCACTGGCCGCTTCGCGCCATCAAGTTGTCCAAATGTCGATCGCCAATGCCCAGGATGTAGGTGATGACCTCGGGCCCAACTCGCAACTTGCTCTGTGCGCATGAGTCATGAGGATATAACCAGTCAGTCCATGTGCGCTAATCATCAACTACGACGCACATTGTTGTTGAAGATTGAAGACTAAATCATACTACAACATACATCAACATACTACAACAATCAAAGACAATAACGATATCCGAAGCAACAGCTGCTCACATCATCAAAAACGTCCGTGTTTTTGGCAAGCACACTGACACAGTGCGAACTAAAGTACGCCTTTCTTCTGTACAGCTTGCAGCCAGCAGACCCTAAGGACCTGCACAAACTCCTCCCATTGCAATCTCACTTGAGTAGAGTGACCCAAGCGGTGCCCGCAATGCCATCCGAAGATCTTTCACTTCATGGCCTTCATCGCCTTCATGGCCTTCATCGCTTTCATCGCCTTCATGGCCTTCATTGCGGGTGCCTCCTCCTCAACGGCCTTCTTCATCGATTTCATTGCTTTCATCGCCTTCATCGCCTTCATTGCTTTCATCGCCTTCATGGCCTTCATCGCCTTCATTGCCTTCATTGGTGCCATAGCTTCGATAAATGGCAAGGGCAAATCGCCACGAGTTTGAGGAGTGCTGTCAGGAGGCTTGAGCAAAGCGGAATACATGAATACACATGAGGTCATTTCGGTCATTTCACAAGCCGCACTTGCAACATCTTGCAACCAAAGCTGAGTTTCTTGATCATGAGTTCTTAATGCCACAGTCACTGTGGTCTCTGAAAAAATATGTCTCTCAAATATCTCAAATGAGTTTCCGGCCACTACAGCTTCTACACATTGTTGTTCAAGATTTAAGACTAAATCATACTACTGTACAACATACATCAACATACTACAACAATCAAACACAATAATGATATCCGAAGCAACAGCTGCTCACATCATCAAAAACGTCCATGTTTTTGGCAAGCACACTGACACAGTGCGAACTAAAGTACGCCTTTCTTCTGTACAGCTTGCAGCCAGCAGACCCTAAGGACCTGCACAAACTCCTCTCATTGCAATCTCACTTGAGTAGAGTGACCCAAGCGGTGCCCGCAATGCCATCCGAAGATCTTTCACTTCATGGCCTTCATCGCCTTCATGGCCTTCATCGCTTTCATCGCCTTCATGGCCTTCATTGCGGGTGCCTCCTCCTCAACGGCCTTCTTCATCGATTTCATCGCTTTCATCGCCTTCATCGCCTTCATTGCTTTCATCGCCTTCATGGCCTTCATCGCCTTCATTGCCTTCATTGGTGCCATAGCTTCGATAAATGGCAAGGGCAAATCGCCACGAGTTTAAGGAGTGCTGTCAGGAGGCTTGAGCAAAGCGGAATACATGAATACACATGAGGTCATTTCGGTCATTCACAAGCCGCACTTGCAACATCTTGCAACCAAAGCTGAGCTTCTTGATCATGAGCTCTCAATGCCATAGCCACTGTGGTCTCTGAAAATATCTGTCTCTCTCAAATATCTCAAATGAGTTTCTGGCCACGGCGACACCTACACGTTGTTTTTGAAAATTTAAGACTAAATCATACTACAACATACATCAACATAATACGACAATCAAAGACAATAATGATATCCGAAGCAACAGCTGCTCACATCATCAAAAAGATCCGTGTTTTTTGCAAGCACACTGACACAGTGCGAACTAAAGTACGCCTTTCTTCTGTACAGTTTGCAGCCAGCAGACCCTAAGGACCTGCACAAACTCCTCCCATTGCAATCTCACTTGAGTAGAGTGACCCAAGCGGTGCCCGCAATGCCATCCGAAGATCTTTCACTTCATGGCCTTCATCGCCTTCATGGCCTTCATCGCTTTCATCGCCTTCATTGCGGGTGCCTCCTCCTCAACGGCCTTCTTCATCGATTTCATTGCTTTCATCGCCTTCATCGCCTTCATTGCTTTCATCGCCTTCATGGCCTTCATCGCCTTCATTGCCTTCATTGGTGCCATAGCTTCGATAAATGGCAAGGGCAAATCGCCACGAGTTTGAGGAGTGCTGTCAGGAGGCTTGAGCAAAGCGGAATACATGAATACACATGAGGTCATTTCGGTCATTTCACAAGCCGCACTTGCAACATCTTGCAACCAAAGCTGAGTTTCTTGATCATGAGTTCTTAATGCCACAGTCACTGTGGTCTCTGAAAAAATATGTCTCTCAAATATCTCAAATGAGTTTCCGGCCACTACAGCTTCTACACATTGTTGTTCAAGATTTAAGACTAAATCATACTACTGTACAACATACATCAACATACTACAACAATCAAACACAATAATGATATCCGAAGCAACAGCTGCTCACATCATCAAAAACGTCCATGTTTTTGGCAAGCACACTGACACAGTGCGAACTAAAGTACGCCTTTCTTCTGTACAGCTTGCAGCCAGCAGACCCTAAGGACCTGCACAAACTCCTCTCATTGCAATCTCACTTGAGTAGAGTGACCCAAGCGGTGCCCGCAATGCCATCCGAAGATCTTTCACTTCATGGCCTTCATCGCCTTCATGGCCTTCATCGCTTTCATCGCCTTCATGGCCTTCATTGCGGGTGCCTCCTCCTCAACGGCCTTCTTCATCGATTTCATTGCTTTCATCGCCTTCATCGCCTTCATTGCTTTCATCGCCTTCATGGCCTTCATCGCCTTCATTGCCTTCATTGGTGCCATAGCTTCGATAAATGGCAAGGGCAAATCGCCACAAGTTTGAGGAGTGCTGTCAGGAGGCTTGAGCAAAGCGGAATACATGAATACACATGAGGTCATTTCGGTCATTTCACAAGCCGCACTTGCAACATCTTGCAACCAAAGCTGAGTTTCTTGATCATGAGCTCTCAATGCCACAGTCACTGTGGTCTCTGAAAAAACATGTCTCTCGAATATCTCAAATGAGTTTCCGGCCACTACGGCTTCTACACATTGTTGTTGAAGATTAAAGACTAAATCATACTACTGTACGGGTGCGGATTTTTTTTGGTATTTTTTTCTTGTTTTGGGATTATTATTTTTTTTTGGTCGTGGGCACGGTTTCCTCACCTTTTCCTTGTTTTCCAATATTTTTCCTTCGTTTTTCATTGGTTTTCCTTCGTTTTTCCTCTCGTTTTCCAGTATTTTTCTTTGTTTTTTCATAATTGTCCTCACTTTTTCATCGTTTTCCATTACTTTTCCTTGGTTTTTTCATAATTTTCCTCACTTTTTCCTTGTTGTCCATTATTTTTCCTTAGTTTTTCATTGGTTTTCCTTCACTTCCCTCACTTTTTCCTCGTTTTCCATTATTTTTCCTTGGTTTTTCATTCGTTTTCCTTCACTTCCTTCACGTTTTCCTCGTTTTCCATTACTTTTCCTTGGTTTTTCATCATTTTCCTCACATTTTCCCTCCTTCCTCAATAAGAAAACAGGAAGGGGGTATTGGGGAGATTGTCAATGGATTTTTTCTATGTTTTTCTTCAATTTTTGTATGGTGTTCATTCATTGTTTACTGGTTTTCATTCATTGTTCCAAAGTTTTCATTGATTCCTACATGGTCCCCATGACGGAGGCCACCAGGATCGGTCAAGAAGTTGGTGTCCGCCTTCTTGGGGATGAGGCTGGTCACCACGGTTGTGAGGCAAGGGTGCCAAACACCAGCAGTAGCCATTCCACACAAAATGGAAGCAAGCATATCCTAGAAAGGAGCGGGAAGAGCCAACAGTTCTGACCTACGCTATCCATCTGCGCCACAAGCAGAGTGAGCAGAAATTCTCTGGACTGCGACACGGAGTTGGGAACCAGTAATGTCAAGGAGGTTCACTTGAGAGAGTCTAGACACCAAAGGAGAAGCAGGGACGGCACAGGTAGCAGCTGCACGACTTGCAACAGGTGGAATGTCGTGCTGACGCAAGATGGGACGCCACACAGATTCAACCTTGTCAAAACAAGCAGGGGTGTCATCAACAGACTGCCAAGGGACATATTATACTTGGCCTGGGCCCAACGGAAGCGATCCGCTTGAGATGCCAACATGCGATGTCGCCAAGTTTGCAAATCATGATATCGAACCCTCTGGTTTCGAGAATCGATGTATGCCCGCACAGAACCCAACAGATTTTGGACCTCACACAAGGAGGGGACTTCCTCAGGAAGACGCAGCCAAACATCATCCACCAGAGCAAGCCGACGACAAGCGTGGAACCAAGTTTTCTGTTGAGTGCCAGCCCGGATGCTTGCCTCCCATTGGGCACACAGTTCAGCCAACCCGGAACGTGTTTTTTCCAATCTTTGGAAACCGAGATCACCACGAACACACTGACCCTTGAAAGTACGAGTGACAAGTGTCGGAACGACAGCGCAGCGCGACCAAAGTGAAAAGGTGAGATGCCAAACCCCCCCCGCCGACAAAGCCGGGCAAGTTCATCCTCGGCAAGAGCAGTCCAAATCTCATACGCACGCTCAGGGTCACCAGCAGCAAGCATGGCTTGAACCACAGAGAGCCGTGAGTGCATCTGAAGCAGCGGTTCACCATCAACAGCGACCAACGAACCCACAGGGAAAGGACGTGGTAACCTTAAAACTTGCCAAGTGTCACGGAGAGCATCAATGGCCAAATCAGCGGCAACAGGCTTATGGGTAGGGAACGGGGCCTCGGACAAAACTTCAGACGACAGCAACGCAGGGCACAGAGACGGAGAAACAAAAACGTGGTCAATAACAGTACCAGTAGACGAGTTGGCAGTACAGCAAGTCGCAGCATTGGAAGTATTGACCGAGTGGAACCCGTGGTCGACAAGATGCATCAAAGCAGGGGAATCGTGCAATGCCGTGTTAAAATCACCCCCAAGCACAACATGACCGCAGAGAGACAGAGTCCAATTAACAACACGGGTCAGCAGGTCCTCACGGGCATCAGCATCTTGCACATGAGCATAGCAAGATAGACACGTTAGGGTTCCAGATTGCAAGCGAACTTGCCCAGCAACGATCCGACCATCCCGCCAATGGTCAT